GCTTCCCCCCCCGCTTTGTTGTTTTGTGGCAGGGAAATGAGGCACAGGGGCCCCGGCCCGACTCTTGCCGCCACGCGGGATGGCGTCAAGCCGGAAAGAAAACAAATCATGCAAAAATAAACTGCCCCGGTGCTGTCTGTGGGGGGAAGGGGGGCTGGGACCCCTTCCCAATGGCCCCCCAGCACAGCATGCTCGGGGTGTGATCTCGTCTGCTTGCCGCCACCACGCTGATAGGGAGCAGCCGGCACGGAAACGGTGTTATCTGCCGCCAGCGCCGGCCAGCAACCCCCGTCACCCATGGGAAGCCCCAGCCAAGGATGGCTGTGGGACCCGGGGTCTGGAAGCAGTGCTCTTCTTTGCTTTACTTTTCCCCACAAGCCCAGCCACTGGGGCCTGCCATCCCTCCCTGAGGAGGGACGCAGTGGGGACGGGCTGCCTGGGGACGCGGGAGCGTGACGGCCAGACGCGCTGCCTGCTTGCCTGCCCGGAGCAGGATGCTCCGCAGCCCACAATGGAGGGGCGATTACATCTCCCAGCACGGCAGCATGGGGCTGCTGCACTGCCTGCATCCCAGCCGAGGGGCCCCCGACTCCCCCGCGCTGCCCCACAGGCAGTGATGTGGGATCTCAGCCACATCCCACCTGCATCCTGACCACCTGTACCCCCCCACGGTTGTTGGCCCAAGTTGTCCATGTCCAAGTGAGCCAGTGACTGGGATGGTTCCATCCACACTCCCCTGGCTGTGCAGACAGACAGCCCTGTCGGGGCATGCTGCTCCTTGGTGTAGCCACCCCATTGTTTCAGAGACGATGAAAAAGCCTCATGGTGCCGGGTGCCGCACCGGACTGCCAGAAGCCATCCTCTGCCTGGCCTAAGGAGGACAGTGGTGGTGGGGAGGGGGAAAGGGATGCTTTTGTGAGTCTTTTTTCAGCAACAGCTCACAGCTCACATTTGGCCATGGCTGTTGTCTGCATGCAGATGATGATGCCCTCCACCTCCTCCTGGGGAGCCGGTGGCCAAGGGAAGGATGCGGGCACCAGCAGCCCCTCAAGGAAGGAGGAATTCCCTTTGCTCCCTTCTGCCTCTCACCCTATTTTTGGAGCTTCAGGGATGATCCCAGTTTTGTTTTCTGCTCTCTGAGGGGGATCCTGGTTGGGATCACAGGTTTCAGGGTGAGCAAGGCTGCCCAGGGTTAGGGTAGATCTGACCTGGCAGTATGTGTTTAAGGCACGTGTTTAGGGCTGGCTGAGCTTTTGGTTGAATAGGAGCCATAAAAATGTCATCCTGTCTTCCCCACCTCAAACGTGGCAGATGACAACTCTGCTGTGGCCCCACCAGAGAGGTTTCTACCTGAAATGCAGCTCGCACAGGACAACTTCATCAGGAACCTGTTGCCCGAGGCTCAAACTGGGGAGGAAAACTCGTATTCCTGGTGGGACAGATGAGGCTGTGATCTGTGCTGGGCTTTCCAGGTGGAGGGAAGAGGATGCTCTCCCCAACGGCTGCTTCCTGAGGAACTGGCTCGCGGGCAGCACGGGCAGCCGCGTCAGCAGGCAGCAGGGTGCCTCAGCACGCCGGCCCTCCCGGCCTTCCTGCTGCCCCAACAAACCCAGCCATGTCCGGGAAGAGCATCTGAGGGATGGGGACAAGCTGTGAGGGGCTGTGCGTGGGGGGGAGGTATGCTCAGGCCCTCACCACCCACCCCTCACCCCAGTCCTGAGAGGAGGAAGGAAACGCCACAGAGCTGGGAAGGGGCTCAGCATCCGTCAGAGGGACAATGGGTAGTGGGAAGCAGTGGCCAGGAGCTGAGCATGTGTCCCCTGCTCTGACGTGTGGCATCTGGTCCCATCACACTCCCCGTGGAGCCTCTGCCATGCCCCTGGCTCGGGGCCATCTTGGCCAGACTCGGAGCAAGCTGCTCTTATCTCTGCCCCAGCTTCCCGGTGATAAGGACAGCATGTCTGGAGGTGAACTGGGCTGGCTGTCCCCACTCTGTCCCTGGCTCTAGCTGTGGCTGG